CCAATAATCTAACAATCTCCCACTTGGACGACATACACATGTATACACAATCCTTAGAATTGTATGTTTACTTTAGGAGCTCCAAATTTTGCTATCAAACTGTAGTCATCCTTAATCAATCCGGTCCATTAATTATATCAACATAGGACCAAAGAAGTCTTTGCTATATTTGAATAACTAGACCCATCAATGATCACATACATTAATATAATAAACGATATGGATCAAGTATAGGTGTGTAGCGTGGAAATAACATAAAGTGTGGTCTAGAATAGAATGTCTATTTCCAACTGGTTCACCTTGAGATCAATAATATAACTGTAAGAGTACATAAAACTTTAAACTTCATTTCTGCAGAAAATAACATTAAAACTTGAGTTAACCAAACATAGAAACATTACAAACTCCCACTAAAACTCATAATCCTCAACTGATTTGACACCCATTTGAGCAACATGCTCATGAAACACTTTGGGTGGTAATCCTTTAGTGAGCGGATCCGCAATCATGGAGTTTGTGCTAATATGCTCTATAGATAACTTTCCTTCTTGTACTCGTTCTTTAACAGCCTTAAATTTGACCCCAATGTGTTTTGCCTTGGTCAAACTACTGTTGTTCTTAGCATAGAGGACTGCTGATCTATTGTCACACAATAGCTTAAGTGGTCTTTCAATGCTGTCCACTATGCGTAGTCCACTGACAAAATCTCGCAGCCATAATGCCTGATTGGATGCCTCATAACATGCTATAAACTCTGCTTCCATGGTGGAAGTAGCTGTAAGAGTTTGCTTGATACTCCTCCAGGAGATAGCTCCTCCAGCTAGAATATAGATGTAGCCTGAAGTGGATCTCAAGCTATCTTGACATCCAGCAAAATCAGAGTCGGTATACCCAATGACCTCAAGCTGATCTGATCTCCGATATGTGAGCATATATTACTTTGTTCTCTGTAAATACCGCATGACCCTTTTGGCTGCTTTCCAATGGTCCATTCCCGGATTGCTCAAATATCTGCCTAACATCCCAACAATGTATGCCAAATCAGGTCTTGTACAAACCTGGGCATACATCAAACTTCCTACAGCCGAAGCATAAGGAATGTTCCTCATTTCTTTAGATTCAAAACCATTCTTAGGGCAATGCATGAGACTAAACTTATCTCCCTTAGAAACTGGGGTATCTCCTGGTTTGCAGTCTTGCATACCAAACCTTTTGAGAACCTTATCGATATAGCTCTTTTGTGAGAGTCCAAGAACGCCTTTGGAGCGATCTCGGTGAATTTGAATTCCTAATACAAAAGAAGCCTCACCAAGATCTTTCATTTCAAAATTCTTTGAAAGAAATATCTTAGTTTCATGCAATAAGTCTATATCGTTACTAGCAAGCAGTATGTCATCAACATACAAGACCAGGAAAATATGCTTACTCCCACTGAACTTGTGGTATATGTTAGTATATATGTCCTAGCGACAATCACTTCTTAGAGATATATGTACTTGATCACATTCAGTTTTATATATTTGATATATACGGCATTACACATTGATGATTAAGTATTTCGATTGCCAATATCTTATTCATAATTGTGTTCCCTTGGACTTATGTTGTCAATAAGTAAGTGGGAGCTTATATGATATAACATAAGGTCCTAAAATAGCCTCAATCAATGATCATCAAGAATGGGATATTGATGATATGCGATAAGATTGGTATGTGGACTGTATCATACTTTTAGAAAGTATAGTTGATCTCACAACTATGAGTTCCTGTAATTCATGATGGTCACATAGATATTTTAGAGAATATTGGCATACCCACCGAGAAACCATTTGATAAGTTCTATTCATGTGTCTATGGGATTATCGGCGTATAGAGTAGTGTAATAGTCCTTCGACTTGAGGTCAATACGTACTACATGTGCGGAGTAATGTACTTTGACCATGACCAACGCTTGCACTCCAATCGGGGTAGATACGGCATGTGTTGGGTGCATCACGAAGCACATGGAGTAGTAGTTGAGCCAAGAAAGGATTCATTCCTCATAATAGATTAAGAGAGAACATTCTACTTCTCATATCTAGATGGATCATAAAGTCATTGGCCAATGCAAAGATATATTCGTTTTGGATATCGAATATGATCATTATGGATCATCTAGAAAGATTGAGAGATAGAGACTAAGTTATTGGAATAGACACAATATCAAGTTCTAGACTTAGTTGAATGTTCGCTCAATGAAAGGACCGTATCACTATGAGCTCTATATTACAGGGAGTTTGAATAGTCCTCGCAAACGTCCTTATATGTTAAGTTTGTTTGGTAAATCGTCTAGGGATTCTACTAAGACCTTAATTTGATTAGTGCTTAATATATAAGGCCCTATGGGTCACACAACAAGTGATTATACCTTCCGATTGAATTGTTAGAAGGAATTAAATATTATTAATTGGATTAAATAATATTTAATTCGTAATACTGAAAATGGATTAAATATTAATTAGATTAGACGTATTTAATTCATAAAGGTGAAGGAGAGTTCTATTTGATAGAATTAAATAAGTAAGATAAATTAGATTTATCATACTTAAAAAGATGTATTTATTATTAAATAAAGTAGATATTTTCTTTTGTAATTTGGAATTAAAAAGAAAAGTAAATAAAATAAATAATAATATATAATAATTAGAAAGTGGCGTGCAGCCACATCTCAATTATTATTATTATTATTATTTTGTTTTGTTTTATCTAATTATTTAATTAATTAAGAGTATTGGTCCTAGCAGGATTAGAACTCATTAATGAGAAAGACTTTCATTGTGATTGGGAAACTAGTTTAGAACTAGTATAAATACACCTTCCTCCTTCATAATTCATAGACCAGTTTTCAGATTCAGTATTACCAGTTTATTTCCCTGCGAAGAGATTTCCTAGCCTTTCTCTTAGGGAGATCTAACCGTTCTTTCGGAAAGGAGAAATCACGTGGATACCAAAGGTCAAGGATTATCACCGCTAGGCTGGAAGATCTGTAAGTTCTAACTCAGATTTGTTATTATTATCATATTCGTTATTTTGTCATAATCAGGGAAGATCTGTTTGGGAAAATTTTAAACTTCCGCTGCCGTACTTTCGAGGTACGTTACATCAATTTCCTAACAGTGGTATCAGAGCCAAACTGATTCTAATGACATTATACGAATTTGATTGATATTGTATGTCGGAGGTCAAAAATATGTATTTCGATGAATAGTATTTTTTTGCCGCTGTTTGATTTCCAAAATCAAACAATTTTTGAACAAATACGTAGTATGAGAATTTAATTTCTTTTAGAAATTAAAATCTCGATGTACTATTAAAGCAATGATGCTCTTAAGAAGACGAACGAACTTCGATCGGTTGTACTCTATTTATTTACCTGTTGCAACAATGATCTCTGTACGATTGAGCCGAAGAACTCGCTCCACTATGACCGGCAATTTTGACGGCGAATTTGTTTGAACAAGCAACCGACAATTTAGGTTTTTCTTGCGATTGGTTAAATTATGAAGATGATGAGAAGAACATCACTATTTGGAAGACTTCTAGAAGTCTACAAATAGAAAAGTAATTAGTTGCTCTGCGTTTTAGAATGAAAAGGAACATGTGTCCATTACATCCTCTGATTTAGTTTTTGATATTTTTAATTTTTGAAATTAAAATTATTTTCTGTTGGAATCTGAAAAAAAACGTTGGTATGGTTCTGCGTATACGAGGGTTTTTCGATTCTGCGAGGATGGATACAGAAAACGACGAAATCAATTTGTTGCTATGTTTTCGCAGTTGTTCTGGATGAGCATATTTTATGAATTAGATTCACGCCAGGACTATGTTGTAATTCTACTGAAATCCCTGATTTGATCTTTAAAACGTAGATGTATATTTGAAGTACTTCGCATTCTTTCCTATAGACTTGGTCTATGCGGCAGTATGGATTGGTAATGGAATTAATATTATAGTAATATTATAATCATCCTTATATTAATTAGATTAATTATTAATTTATAATTTATAATTGATAATTGTATTATCATTATTGTTTAAGCATGCTTTTACTTTATTATTTGACTATAATATATGTTACAAATTAGATTTATATTGCATGATTTAATTTTATATGTTTGAGTTAGATCTCATATATTAACATATTATTTGATAATATATTCTAGCATCTTGATTAAATAAAATAATTTAAACTCCGCTAAATGTTCCCCATAAATTAAAATTTAAGTCTTATCTGAGATAACGACATCACCCATCATAATTAAATTAGTAGAAATATTTTTTCGTTGAAGAATATTTCACCCAAGTGTTTATTCCATTCGACAAAATATAGAACTAATTTATAGATACATATGTTTGTGATCGTGTGATGGTTTTGACTTACTTAAATTAGCTCGAATCGCCCAAGCGTCAGTGTTAATTTAAGGATGTCGATCAATTTAAAAATTGATCAACCAAGAGTTGTTTGGACACAATTGGTCTAGGGACCTACCCATTATATTATTGCAGTAATCAGCCCAAGTTGGGGCTGTTATAGTATGAATGTGGATCTTGGCCACTATGATTGTGTAAACAATCTATGTTCTTTTTATTGGGGTCAAAGAACATGAAAAATAGTGGGAGCTAAATAATTAAAAGTCCATATTATTTAGTTAACTAAATGTGATCATAGGAATTATTATATGAATTTTAATTTCCATTCTATTTGAACTTCTTTAGGCTTTTAGGAATGTCGAATTTATCATTGAGAAGTATCTTGGATACATGCAAGCTTACTGGACCAAATTTTCTAGACTGGGAAAGAAATGTGCGTTTAGTTCTTAGACAAGAAAATATTGAGTATGTGTTAGACACACCGGTACCCAAGATTCCTGATGCCAACTCTCCTGAGTTTGCCACGTTTGACCTGACTGCTCGAGAGAAACACGTCACTGATGCTAAAACTGTGCAATGTGTTATGTTGGCTGCAATGTCTATGGAGTTGCAAAGGCAACACGATAGGATGAGCACCTTCGAGATGCTTGAACACTTGAAAAGTCTGTTTGATTCAGAAAGTCAGACTCTAGAGTATGAACTTCTGACAGACATTTTCAAGTGTAGGCTTCAAGAGGGTGACAACGTGTCTGAGCACGTCCTCAAAATGATTGGCTTAATTGAAAGAGTTGCTACCACCGGAATTAAGTTTGAGGATCGTGTCTCAGTTGCTATCATCCTATATTCGCTTCCGAGTTCATTTACTAACTTCATTGTGAATTATAATTTGAACAAAACGAAAGCGACCATGCCTGAACTCCATAACATGCTCAAGTCTTATGAAGCCTCAACCTCTAAAGGAAAGACTGTTCTTATGGTAAGCTCTAATGCTAAGTCTCGTTCTAAGAACAAGAATAAGCAAAAGAAGAAAGGTAAGGTTGGACCTACTCCTACAGCTCTGAAGCCTAAAGGTGGAGGTCATATGAAGCCAAAGGTTGCAAAGGATGTTTGCCTCTACTGCAAAGAGAAGGGGCATTGGAAGAGAGATTGTGAGTTGTATAAGGCTAATCTAGCCAAAGCACCGGGTGCTTCAAGCTCAGGTATTTTTATCATTAAATAAATATGTCTATAACTAGCTCTCATTGTTAAAGTATTAGATACAACTTATGGCTTACACATTTGTAAAAATGTGCAGAAGCCTGAGAAGCAGTGTAGCAGTTGGACTGGGTAAAATTGACCTACACGTGAAGGCTGGAGGAAAAGTTGCTGCTAAACGTGATAGGATCTTATAGTTTAGATTTGCCCAGTGGTTTTAGATTAGAATTAAATAATTGTTATTTTATTCCTTCTATTACCAAGAAGATTATTTCCATTCATATGTTAGACATTAAAAGATTTCTATTTCCATTTTGCTAATAATAATTATTTTCATAAAATGGTGTTGTTGTGGAAATGCTTTTCTTATGAATGGTTAATTATCAATCGACATATTAGATATTAAATGAATAAAATAAAAGGATCTCGATTAAGTAATCAGAAAAATCACTACCTATCTATGACATTGCAAACTTGGTCAAATTAATGAAACAAGAATAGCAACGTTAAATGAATTAGATTATTTAACACCATTTGCTTTTGAGTCATATGGAAATTGCGAATCTTGTCTTTCAAACAACTTGACTAATAAACCTTTTCTAGGAAAAAGGATAGCAAGCCAAAGAGTACTTAAGTAAAATTTCTGATTTATTTAAAAGGTCAAAGAATTCGGTCATAATGAACTCCTCCAGAACACCTTAGAAGACTGGCGTTTCTGTAAGGAGAAATAGGGCTTTGTTAGACATGGCTAGATCTATGATGAATTCATTTTCTCTTCCAAACATTCTTTTGAGGGTACACGCTATAAATCTCAATATACATTCTGAATAGTTTGATTAGTGCAAAATGTACTATATGAGTTATAGTATAATAAAAGACATTTTCTTCATATATTAAATATGGGTTGCCCTACATATGTAAAGAAATGTGCACTAATCAAATTGAAAGCTGAAGTAACATAGAGAATGAAGATTTGTTAGATGGTCTGACGAAGGATTCAGTGGGAGAATTGACTTGAAGAATGTCTCTAGGAGGATATCCTTCAACTAGTGGGAGTAATATAGGAATCACCTCGCACCAGCAAGTGATTCTTATTAAAGATAAGATGACATGGTTGTCATTCCTTCTACACCCACTTCTCTTTCTCTGGAAACACTTAAAAGTGTAGCACCAGAAAACTCTCTAAGCATTGGATAGTCCAATGAAAGAGAACCTCTTCACGATCAGAATGAACAGCCTGAACAAAACGCAAAATATTCAACTCTGCGGGTCTACTATAATTCATCATGAACTAACTAGGTTAGGCTTCCTCATGGAGGATCATAATGATGTTAAGATTCCTGATACGGATGAACCTGAGACCTACATACAAGCAATATTAGACGTTGATCCATAGAGATGGCGAGAAGCCATAAAATCTAAAATGGACTCGATGTGTATCAATCAAGTATGGAACTTGGTTGACTTGCCTGTTGGGTTAGACCCATTGGATGCAAAAAGATTTTTAAGGAGAAAATTAATGCTGAAGGCAAGGTGAGAACATACAAATCTAGGCTAGTGGCTAAAGATTATAGTCAAAGAGAAGGAATTGACTATAGTGATACCTATTTGCCAGTTGCAAAACTCAATTCCATTCGGATTTTTCTTGTGATAGCTGCATAGTATGATTATGAGATTTGACAAATGGATGTCAAAACCCACTTCCTTAATGGAAACCTCAAGGAGGAGGTGTACATGGTACAACCTAAAGGTTTTTGCATCCAAGTCAAATTCTAAATCACTATGTTAATTAGAGAAATCTATTTATAGGCTAAAACGAGCCTCTAGGAGTTGAAATATTGATTTTGATGAAATAGTCAAATCGTTTGACCTCATCAAATGAAATGAGAGTGCTTGCGTGTTTAGAGTGCGCAACAAGGATAGCGTGGTCTTTATAATCATATAGGTTGATCATAGAGAATGATATCCCCTCATTGAAGTCGGTGAAAGAATGGTCACCCAAAATCTTCATGAATATCTTTTGTCTATGGTAGACAGAAAGAACTAGTAGAATTTAATTATTCTAGCACTAGTCTCATGTATGATAAGAAAGACTACGAGTCACAGCCAATATATGTTTTTAGTCTCAATGTAATAGTAATGCTCCAAGAGTTGCAAGTAAGAAACTATTGTATATTCGACAACTAGAGCCTAGTAAATTGTTGCATTTGATGCAACATAGGTAAGCATTTAGATACGTTAGTTCCTTAAGGAAATAGAGGTAGTTCCTAGCGATAGTTATCCGATAATTGTTATTGTGACTGTATCGGTGCATTTGCACAAGCTAAGGAACCAAGATGCAAAGTAAGGAACTAGAAAATACCTGTGTGCTATCATATTTTGAGAACAAATAGCAAGAGGAGATATTGCAATAGAACACCTTCCCGTAGAGGACAATTTGGCTGGCCCATTCACTTTGTGATGTGAGAAACATACTAGACTTTTGAGAGTCTAGGTGTTAGACGCATTGGTGATTGGCACTAGGCCAAGTGGGAGATTGTTAGTATATATGTCCTAGCGACAATCACTTTTTAGAGATATATGTACTTGATCACATTCAGTTTTATATATTTGATATATACGGTATTACACATTGATGATTAAGTATTTCGATTGCCAATATCTTATTCATAATTGTGTTCCCTTGGACTTATGTTGTCAATAAGTAAGTGGGAGCTTATATGATATAACATAAGGTCCTAAAATAGCCCCAATCAATGATCATCAAGAATGGGATATTGATGATATGCGATAAGATTGGTATGTGGACTGTATCATACTTTTAGAAAGTATAGTTGATCTCACAACTATGAGTTCCTGTAATTCATGATGGTCACATAGATATTTTAGAGAATATTGGCATACCCACCGAGAAACCATTTGATAAGTTCTATTCATGTGTCTATGGGATTATCGGCGTATAGAGTAGTGTAATAGTCCTCCGACTTGAGGTCAATACGTACTACATGTGCGGAGTAATGTACTTTGACCATGACCAACGCTTGCACTCCAATCGGGGTAGATACGGCATGTGTTGGGTGCATCACGAAGCACATGGAGTAGTAGTTGAGCCAAGAAAGGATTCATTCCTCATAATAGATTAAGAGAGAACATTCTACTTCTCATATCTAGATGGATCATAAAGTCATTGGCCAATGCAAAGATATATTCGTTTTGGATATCGAATATGATCATTATGGATCATCTAGAAAGATTGAGAGATAGAGACTAAGTTATTGGAATAGACACAATATCAAGTTCTAGACTTAGTTGAATGTTCGCTGAATGAAAGGACCGTATCACTATGAGCTCTATATTACAGGGAGTTTGAATAGTCCTCGCAAACGTCCTTATATGTTAAGTTTGTCTGGTAAATCGTTTAGGGATTCTACTAAGACCTTAATTTGATTAGTGCTTAATATATAAGGCCCTATGGGTCACACAACAAGTGATTATACCTTCCGATTGAATTGTTAGAAGGAATTAAATATTATTAATTGGATTAAATAATATTTAATTCGTAATACTGAAAATGGATTAAATATTAATTAGATTAGACGTATTTAATTCATAAAGGTGAAGGAGAGTTCTATTTGATAGAATTAAATAAGTAAGATAAATTAGATTTATCATACTTAAAAAGATGTATTTATTATTAAATAAAGTAGATATTTTCTTTTGTAATTTGGAATTAAAAAGAAAAGTAAATAAAATAAATAATAATATATAATAATTAGAAAGTGGCGTGCAGCCACATCTCAATTATTATTATTATTATTATTATTTTGTTTTGTTTTATCTAATTATTTAATTAATTAGGAGTATTGGTCCTAGCAGGATTAGAACTCATTAATGAGAAAGACTTTCATTGTGATTGGGAAACTAGTTTAGAACTAGTATAAATACACCCTCCTCCTTCATAATTCATAGACCAGTTTTCAGATTCAGTATTACCAGTTTATTTCCCTGCGAAGAGATTTCCTAGCCTTTCTCTTAGGGAGATCTAACCGTTCTTTCGGAAAGGAGAAATCACGTGGATACCAAAGGTCAAGGATTATCACCGCTAGGCTGGAAGATCTGTAAGTTCTAACTCAGATTTGTTATTATTATCATATTCGTTATTTTGTCATAATCAGGGAAGATCTGTTTGGGAAAATTTTAAACTTCCGCTGCCGTACTTTCGAGGTACGTTACATCAATTTCCTAACAGTATATACAATCATCACTGACATTTGGTTGAAAACCAAAAGATATAATGACTTCATGAAACTTATGATACCACTGACGAGAAGCCTGTTTGAGTCCATAGATGGATTTCTTTAATTTGCAAACCATTTTCTTTGAATCTCCCGAAACAAAGTTTTCTGGTTGCTCCATATAGATTGATTCCTCAATGTCACCATTGAGAAATGCAGTTTTTACATCCATCTGATGAAGCTCAAGATCAAAATGTGCCACTAATGCCATTATTGTTCTAAAAGAGTCTTTCGAGGATACCGGAGAGAAAGTCTCTTTATAGTCAATTCCTTTCTTTTGAGTGTATCCTTTAGCAACAAGACGAGCTTTAAACCTTGTAATATTGCCCTTTGAATCCCTCTTGATTTTAAATATCCATTTACAACCAATGGGTTTAATACCTTCAGGCAATGAGACTAACTCCCAAACGTCATTGTCACTCATAGACTTCATCTCATCTTTCATGGCATTAATCCATTCTTGAGAGTTGGAACTTTCCATGGCTTGACGGAAGTTGATTGGATCATCTTCCGCAAAACCAACATCCGATTCTTGTTCTTGGAGGAAGACAAATATTTCTTCCATCAATTCCCAATTTTCCTCATGTTCTTGGAGAAATACAATATAATCATCCGGAATTGCGCTTCTCCTCTCTCGAGTGGATCTCCTTAATGGCACCTCAGGTTCTTGAGGTTGTTGAGTTTGATCCTCATTAATAAATTCAGGTAATTGATTGGGGATGTTTTCGAGATTGTCATGAACTGGAGTTGTTTCTTGAACATCATTAGGAATAAACATATCTTGATCATGTTCAATGACAACTGAAGGAAGAGTAACATGTTCTTCCTCAAAGACAAAATCTCTAACCTTATCTCCCCACCCCCCAAACTCAATATCCTCAAAGAACCGGGCATTACCCGTCTCAAAAATAGTCCTGGTAGTGGGATCGTAAAATTTATACCCCCTTGACCTCTCAGAGTATCCTACAAAATAGCTACTAACCGTTCTTGAGTCCAGTTTCTTTTCATTTGGCCTATAAGGCCTTGCCTCAGCTGGACAACCCCAAACATGGAAATGATTTATACTGGGTTTCTTTCCAGTCCAAATTTCATAAGGGGTTTTAGTTGTAGCTTTAGTGGGAACTCTGTTAAGTATGTAAGCTGCAGTTTTCAGTGTCTCTCCCCAGAGGGAATCTGGTAAAGTAGTATGACAAATCATACTCCTAACCATGTCCTTCAATGTACGGTTTCGTCTCTCAGCAACACCATTCATGCTAGGAGTTCCTGGCATGGTGTATTGAGGAACAATTCCACACTCCTCTAGGAATTTAACAAATGGCCCTGGACGTTGTTCACCGAAACCATCATATCTACCATAGTATTCACCACCACGGTCAGATCTAACGGTTTTTATTCTTTTTGCCTAATTGGTTTTCAACTTCGGCCTTATAAGATTTGAACACGTCTATTGATTGGGACTTTTCATGAATGAGATAAAGGTAACCATAACGAGAGTAATCATCTATGAATGTGATAAAATATGTTTGGCCATTTCTACATGGTGTAGGGAATGGTCCATAAATGTCTGTATATATCAATTCCAATAGATCTGAAGCTCTCTCGGCACTTAATCTCCGTTTGTTCGTTTGTTTTCCCTTAACGCACTCAACACAAATATCATAATTTGAGGAGTCAAGAGAATCAAGAATTCCATCTGACACAAGTCTCTGAATTCTTTCTTTAGAAATATGTCCTAGACGCTTGTGCCAAAGTGAAAACGAATTCTCATTGGTTAATTTTCTTTTAGTACCACGAGTACTTACATGCAAGGTTTCATTATATGAGGTATTTATATCAAGTGAATATAGATTATCATAAAATGATAAAAGACCAGTACCAATAAGTTTTGAATCTTGAAATAGACTGAACTGACTATTTCCAAATGAACAAGAATAACCAAATTTGTCCAATGCAGAAATAGAAATTAAATTCCGCCTAAATGACGGCACAACAAATGTCTCTTTCAAATCCAAATAAAAACCAGCCTTTAATAATAATCTAAAAACACCGATAGCCTCAACTTCAACCCGCTTGCCATCACCGACATAGATGTATCTTTCACCATCAATTGGTTTTCGGCAGCTCAGGCAACCCTGCATAGATACACTTATGTGAGTAGTAGCACCGGAATCTACCCACCAAGTGTCTTTTGGTACCGAAATTAAATTAACCTCAGAACAAACAAGAGCAAGAGACATACCCTTTTTCGCACGCCAAGCATGGTACTTAGTGCAGTTCTTTTTCTTGTGATTAGTCCCTTTGCAAAAAAAGCATCCAGATTCCTTAGTTTCCTTGTGATGCTTCCTGGGAGGCCCCGAATTTGCAGCTTCCTTAATTTTCTGTCTTATCTTGCTTTATTCTCTCTTCCTCTTGAACACAATGAGAAATGAGCTCATTGAGAGACCATTTCTCCTTAATGCAGTTGTAACTGACTTTAAATTGATTAAATTGAGAAGGAAGAGAGATCAAAACTAAATACACAAGCAATTCCTCAGGTAAAATAAGCTTTAGTGCACTTAGTTTTGAAGCAATGTGAGACATTTCCAAAATGTACTCCCTTATGTTCCCTTTGCCTTTATACTTCATGGAAACAAGAGTGCTTAAAAGAGTACTAGTTTCCGCCTTTTCGTTTTTAGCAAAACGCTTTTCAAGTTCGACAAGGAACGATTTGGCATCAGCCTCATCAGCCATTGTGCCCCTGAATGATTCTGGAATTGCACGTTTCATGATCATTAGACTCATGCGATTTGAGCGTTCCCACCTCTCCATCTCCCTCTTTTCATCAAGGGTAGATGTGTCCTTAAGAGCGGCGGGTTTCTCAGTCCGAAGTGCAAGGTCTAGATCCATGCAACCGAGAACAATCATAACGTTCTCTTCCCATTCCTTAAAATTTGTGCCGTTAAGCACTGGGATGCTATTAATATTAGCAGATATTGTAGCAGCAGAATTGTTGACTGAAAGAGAACAAAAAAATAATATAAATGATATGCTCTAGGAACTGAAATTAATTTGATAATTAATTTTAAATTTAAATATTAGCAATCCCCATCACAAGATACCTAACGCAACATCTAATCTTGTCTTTGGACATAAATTAGACTTGCAAGTGGTATCTTGGCGTAATAATAAAATTTTGATAATAAAATCATGTCAAATACTAAGCCTTTCTTTGGACCGACTTAATATTCACACGAAAAACTTCATAATCATCACAAATTTTATTATCACAAATGTACTTAAATTTCGGCCAAATAATAACCTTCCTTTGGGCCGATTATTATCCGCATGAAATAAGAAAGTACACAATCATCTTAATATATGAGTTAATTAATTTCAACAAGAGAGACTACTTTGGCAGCATGTTGTATCAATTAACTAACTCAAATATTAGACATACTAATATTAACTCGAAAATCTGAAAAATAAAATTGGGCAAATTTTTCTGAATCACATGCAAATGTATTATGTATAACGATAATTTTTTTTTTAACTCGTAACCAATCACCGTGTGATCGCAAAATAGGGTTTATACATCCCATAACACATACCGGAGTAATACATAAATTTTCAAGCCGCAAATCACGACCACCAACAAAAGTAATCTATTACATATAAGTATTTAATTATTCAAGGTATAAAATTCCAAAATTAAATTACCGAAAAATGAAACATATCATAATTTAATTTGATACAGGTATCCTCGGCTAAAGGCCTAATCGTTTTGATACAAAATCGATTCCAAATCAAGAACAAATACGTAAGCTAAAGGTCTAATTCTTTAAAGAAAGGAACTGTAATTATGATTCGTTATGAATCAATTCAGCCACATCCATAAATTAATAGTATTCTGTATGAAGTGATTGTGATATTATCACTTAACCAAATATTTCCAATAAAGAGAAATAGAAACATGATCCTCACAATAAAGAAAATTAACGATTGAATCTATCTTCCAGAAAATCAATTGTAAGATTGATTTAACCCAAAACCTATTCAATTGCATGATTGACAGACCCCAAAACAAAACCCAAAAAATAACAAATCGACGATCATGAAAGCCATAATTCCCCCCCAAAAAAGAATGATTAATTTCACTAGATCATCAACTGCCGAATCAGCAATAAAAAAATACTCAAGAATTACTCCATCGTGTATTCCACCTTTGAATTATCAAAAGAACAACGCCGTAATGGTTTTGATTAATCCATGAGCACCAATTCAATAATTGGAATACATAGGAATGAATTACATAAAAGGAAATCTACCCGAATTACATCGGTAGATGATACTTGCTCCAAATAATTCAATATGAAGGAGACTCTGATAACAATTGTTGGAATAAATCCGATAATACTTTAATCTTCATATTGAAATTATCTAGAGAATTAACTGAGCGGAAGCGTACCTGACTCCATGGGAGATGACCTTTAGAGATCCGGGAGACGGAGGCTAGGGTTTGCGTTTCCAGTTGATACACACCCTCGGGATTATCTCTCTAGCGATGGGATGCAGAAAGACGGAATGACGTGTACAACTAGAGACCATAACCCTTTATTTATAGAGAGTGCTTAACCCTAATCAGCCCATCATTGATTAGGTCAAGCCCATGGGTCTCTACACATTTGGGCCCTATACCTTATTAGATAACTTATTAGCCCACTTAAATTAATATCCATAGGACCACTAATTTTTGGACCTAAATATAAGATAGCATATAACATACAATTAAACCCGATAAATAATATACTGTGAATATTACATGTAGTATAAGTCCAATAATCTAACATCATCAAGTCAATCGAACTCTGTTGCCTCAGCCTCCATAGACTGATAGATCGAAAGGTAAACAGATGGAGTGAAAAAAACAAGGAAAGAGAAAAGCAAAAGAAATAGAAAAACAAAAATGAAAAGAAAAGAAAAAGAAAAAAATATAAAAAAATAGAAAATTGAAGAAGAAAAAAGCCAACTCGATATTACAACCGAAGAACCGGTTGTTTATAGGCTAAATAGCCAATTTAATTATTTTCTAATCTTACACGGACTTGATTGATTCATTAAATAGTACATGAAATTAATTGACTTTTTTTATAAAAGTATGTGGATTTATTTGACAGTTTTTCCTATATTATACTTCGTATAAAGTTAGGTAATACATGTGGGCCGGTCAACTTTAGTGTTGAACCGTACCCATGTTTTAGTTTTGTTATTCTCTACTATTATTACTCTCTTATTATTGATATTATTAATAGTAGTAGCCTAGTAATAATATCATAATATAACTAGTACGTAGTAGTATATTAGTATTTCTATCATTATTTATTATTTATTTAATCAACAAACTTTACTATTTTTATTATTATTAGTATTTAGTAAATCATTCGGGTAAAATATTCGGAACCGGTGTCACATTAATGCCCTCTTTTATGTACAATGTTCAGGTCCATCAAAGCTCGCTAAACACACAACAAATTCATCCATATATATAGCTGGCAGGTGATTTGCAACAACAGACCAACATACACAACCTTCACGTAGTTTTGAGCTAAAAATCACCTCCGGCTTTCTGAAAATTCCTTACCGTTCTTACGTTGATTCCGTCCATCGGAACAACCGATTGTGTGCTCATATGGTTGTTCGTAGTCACCGTACCCTGGGAAACTATCACTGCAAACAGGGCCGGTCCTGAGGAAATGAAGGCCCTATGCAAAAAAAATAATTGGGCTTTCTTTTCAAAGTTTCAACACAAGTTAAAAAAACCGAACCGAAATCGCACCGACTCAAACGGGACCCAAAAGTCGGGACTCGAACATAAATCAGTTTAATGAAGATTTTTTGAGTTATAAAATCGGTTCAAACCGCACCGAACCGGTTTTTATTAAGAGGTATTTTTAATTATTTATTTTGTAGAACAAATAGGTAATATAAAACTTGTACGTCCTTATTTCAACAATTAGTTGATTTGGTCAGGTGGTTGATGTTTAGAAATCAACGTGCATGTTTTTATTTTCACCTGGGTTCAAATCCCGCATGCCTCGCTTCTTTTCTTTTTTGTTTCTAAAGCTTAAGATTCCGACACCGGTGGAAACGGAGGATTTACTACTCCTTCGTTCCTATATACACGCTCCTCCTTTGCAGATGAGGAATACGCGAAGTGACGAACCAGACCTGCTTCAAAGCCTTGCCCTAGTCCATTTTTTTGTAATTCATTTGGTTTTATATCCAAACCGAACCGAAACCACCTAAGTAATACTACTCCCTCTGTCCCGCTAACATTGGGACAAGAGGGAGTGACATGCAAATTAATAAAAAGTGGTTCATGTGGTTGATATTGAATTGATAAAGTAAGAATAAAGTAAGAATTATTTAGAGCCACACAAACATTACCAAATTTGGTATGAGACAATCTTAATGGGACGGACCGATAAGGTAAAATGAGACAATGATAGCGGGACGGAGGTAGTAGTATACTACTGCTACAAAAAAATTGGGCCCTTCCAATTTTTTGGGCCCTGTGCGGTTGGACACCCTGCACACCACCAGGGCCGGCCCTGACTGCAAAGCTCCTAGCATCGTGTGAGGAAGCGAATATGTTTTAGGGAAATTGTGCGTTGCACAAGCTTTGACTTTATGTTCCTTCTTGATTCTATTTTTCTTGGCTATTTTAATTAATTAATTTATTTGTTTTCCGATTAAACACGCAATTCACCCAACAATAACGAGAACCAACTTCCCTAAATAGAGTTACAACAACTCCATGCTAATCTCCAAAATAATAGAAAAGTGAAAGAAGGCAAACTCTGCTATTTTAATGAGCTTACGTCTAGTTCGATTACTCTATTTAATGTATTACACATTCTTAGAACTTTTAGAATAATAAATAACATCATACCAGTATATTTAAAGATGATATGTAGCAAAAGTTAAAAAACAATTGAAAAAGAATTGAAGAAGAAGAAGAAGAGCGCATCTTACAGTTGAAGAAGAGCGCATAATTTAACTCTATTGTGGATGGATTTGTGAACAATTGAAGAAGAAGAAAAAGAGTGCAACTTACTTTGATGAATATGGAAAAGCCGAGCGAGCAGAGCAGGTGAAACTCGACACAACATATTTGGAAATGGTCTTCGACTTTTCAGAAGCATGTGTTAACAAGTATAGTAGAAGGGCAATGAAGTGTTTTTGGTTTTCAACGTTAAATCAATACCTTTCAGCTCAAAAAGTAACCTTATCGTTACTTTTTTGCATGTTAAGGGAAATCAACCCAAACGGCCCAATACACATGTCTTTGGCTCCATTTTTACATTTTAAAGCTATCAACCCATTTACTAGGCTCCAAACGCAAACAACCTAACCTAGAGTACAAGTGCAAAATACAATTAGGGTCACATAGAGTATGAGGTATAGGGCAAGGGCAATTGCTTTAACTGATTTACTTCACATGTAGAAGAAAACACTAGTAATTGTAAGATAAAGTTGCAAATTCAAACAACATTGATTAAGCTAAGGTCTACATTAAAGATCAATCCGTCTTTGAAGGTTCTAACACGCCCAGACTATTAAATGAGAGGATGTAAATCGTATTATAATCACAGAATGACAGATAACGGACGAAATTCTAATCTAATTACTTGCACAGGTTCTATGTATTTTTATATCATATTAACTTTTCAAAAGTTCGATTGAGTAACTTTTTCATTAATCTTATCAATCAATTTTTTAATTGAATTTTAGATTCTTAATTTTGTTAATTGTATAATTTTCAAAAGAATGTAATTATATTTTATTACTTCCGTTTCATTAGACATTTCCAATTTTGTGTTGAGTGTCAAATATGAAATAAAAACAAAAACCGTATAATTGAAATTTTTGTAGAAGGAGCAAATTAAATTCACCCATAAATTCATAAATTTAAAAGGAAAATGTTAACATTTTAAGAATTTTTATTTATATTTATTCATATCTCTCACTCTTAGTTGAGTCAGTTCTAGAAAGGGATATTTTGACTTTGCATCCCACTTTTTGAATGATATTTGACTTTGCATCACATTTTCAAAACTTTTAGGCTTTACACTCTATTTCCCCTAACACAAATGCTAAATGTACTCCAAAATGTACCCCATTTTTACCCCACCCTTAATGTGTACCATAAATGAGACAATTCATTTATTTAAATGGAGTACCCGCAAAAATAGGGTACATTTTCGTACCGCCATCAAAACTCTTTCCATTCACCCCATTCAGTAAAACATTGCGGCTTGGTATGGTAGCAGTCCCAGAAACAAGTCTACTCTGGCTCAAAACCATGCGCTTCAGACAATTATGCAGCACCTCATCGAACTTGATGCAAAGTGATCCTGTAAGCAATTTTAAAGTGACAAAGCCTCCTATCACAAGGCCAAAAATATCCGAGGCTGCCAAACGGAGACCAGTGACAAGTTTTATTGCCGATTCAGACACAGTGAAATGGAATATGCAAATAACCAAATTCATGCGGAATGGAGAGTTCGAATCTGCATTGCGCTTATTCAATTCCATGTCTATGAAAAACAGTGTCTCTTGGAACTCAATGATCTCTGGGTACTTGTCCAATAATAGGTTCGACTTCGCACTGCATCTTTTTAATCAAATGCCACATAGGGATTTGGTGTCCTGGAACGTGATGTTAAGCGGGTATGTGAGGAATAAGAATCTTGGAGCTGCTAGGTTGTTGTTTGATCAAATGCCTCACAAAGATGTGGTCTCATGGAACACTATGCTGTCTGGGTACGCTCAAAGCGGGCATATTGATGCAGCAAGGTTGATTTTTGATATGATGCCAGTGAAGAATGAGATTTCATGGAATGCACTGCTGTCAATGTACGTGTGCAATGGGATGATTGATGCCGCCAGGAGATTGTTCGAGTCGAAGGAAATCTGGGAGGTTGTTGCTTGGAATTGTTTGATGGGTGGGTATTTGAAGAAGAGGATGTTGGCTGAAGCCAGAGTGATTTTTGATAGAATGCCTTTGAGGGACAAGGTTTCATGGAACATAATGATATCCTGTTGTGCTCAGAATGGTGAATTGGAGGAAGCAAGGAAGTTGTTCCATGATTCTCCTATTAGAGACGTGTTTGCTTGGACTTCAATGGTTTCAGGGCATGTGCAAAATGGTAAAGTAGAGGAAGCTAGGATATTTTTTGATGATATGGAAGTGAAGAATGAGGTCTCATGGAATGCAATGATTGCTGGGTATGTTCAGTGCAAAAGGATTGATTTGGCAAGGGAGTTGTTTGAGGCAATGCCCTGTAAAAATACTAGTTCGTGGAACACAATGATAACAGGCTATGCTCAAAATAGTGATATTGTTAGTGCAAGGAGTTTGTTTGAATGTATGCCTGAACATGACTGCATCTCTTGGGCTGCAATTATTGCGGGGTATGTTCAATGTGGTAATAGTGAGGAGGCACTGCGCATGTTTGTTGAAATGACAAGAGATGGGGAGAGGATAAACAGGTCATCTTTTACATGTGTCATAAGTACTTGTGCTGATATTGCAGTTTTTGAGTTAGGAAAGCAAGTACATGGACGAATTGTAAAGGCAGGATATGAATCAGGCTGCTATGTGGGGAACGCTCTCCTAGCAATGTATTGCAAGTGTGGAAGCATATCTGAGGCACTGGGTGTGTTCAAGGGAATAGTAGAGAAGGATGTCGTCTCTTGGAATACATTGATTGCTGGTTACGCAAGGCATGGATTTGGCAAAGAGGCTCTAGAATTTTTTGAAGTGATGAAAGGAAATGGTTTTAAACCTGATGATGTTACTATGGTATGTATTTATTTTCAGCTTTTCGTAAGTTGCGTGCAATTGATAATAGTAATATGCACATGACAATTATGGCAAAACCATATGTCATATTGACGAAGTGTGTATTTTTGAGATTTGAATGGTTCTCTAGGTTCATTAGTGTTGTAGTTTTTATTAATATTATGTCTCATTACGATATCCTAAGACTTAAGTGAGGTGGAGGCAGTGGAGCTAATCTAAAATGGATCTTAGATGCCTTTATTCCAAGCTGCAAATCTGCAATGCACACACCCTTGTGACATCTTCTAACTATGCAGCACTTAGTTAACACTGCTTTCTATGTCAGTTTATTATTCATGCCATAATTTGGAGGCAATAATGATTTCCTTAGTTATTTACAAATCTTCTTGGTGTAGCTTTTCTTTAGTTGGTGTGCTTTTATATATCCTTTTGAAAATGATGTTTAGGTTTGACTCACCATCTTATGTTCTTTAGGTTGGGGTACTGTCCGCCTGCAGTCATACAGGCTTGGTTGAAATGGGAATGGAATATTTTGATTCTATGAAGGGAGACTATGGGATAGACGCAAACTCAAAGCACTACACTTGCATGATTGACCTCTTGGGTCGAGCTGGGCGCCTGAATGATGCACAAGGCTTAATCAAGAGCATGCCCTTTGAACCAGATGCTGCCACTTGGGGTGCTATCCTTGGGGCAAGCAGGATGCACGGAAACACAGAATTAGGAGAAAAAGCTGCTGAAAAAGTTATTGCATTGGAGCCATGGAATGCCGGGATGTATGTTCTTTTATCAAACATGTATGCAGCTTCTGGTAGATGGTCTGATGTCAGTAAGGTGAGATTAAAACTGAGGGATACTGGTACCAAGAAAGTTCCCGGGTATAGTTGGGTTGAGTTACAAAACAAGATTCACATTTTTTCAGTTGGAGACTCCACACATCCAGACAGTGAAAGAATGTATGCTTTCTTGGAAGATTTAGAACTACGAATGAAGCGTGAAGGCTATGCGGTTGCAACAAAAATAGTCTTGCATGATGTGGATGAGGAGGAGAAGGCACATATGTTGAAGTATCATAGTGAAAAATTAGCTGTTGCATTCGCAATTCTGAATGTGCCCCCTGGGAGACCAATACGTGTGATAAAGAATTTAAGAGTTTGTGCAGACTGTCACACTGCAATCAAACTTATTTCAAAACTTGAAGAAAGATCAATAGTTCTACGGGATAACAACAGGTTCCACCACTTCAATGATGGTTTATGCAGCTGTGGCGATTATTGGTAAGGCCAATGAACTATGGGTGCAACTTATATGGATCAAGACATGGTGATACATATGAGTATAGTCCTCATGTTAGCAACAATGTTATGCTTAGTGGTTAGTCTCCAAGCTGTTTTTATGAATTGAATCGAAAGCTTCTCTGTACTCTTTTCCTTTTCCAAAAAACTTACAACATATTTCATTGGAAAACACATAAACTTATTTTAAGTTTAGGATGTGGGTTGAGCATTACTTGTTGGCTAACCAATTGTATTATTTGCCCTGTCAAAGGAAAACAGGATCGATGGGAATGATAGCAACGGAGGGGTAATGTCTCAAGAGAAATCTATGCGTTGGTTCATTGGAAGTGCCTTTTAAGTTCTACTTTAGGTGAGAAACGTCATTGTTTGATTCTTCAGTGCTCTCTTGTAGATCTTAGTTTCTTAGTTGTTACTCTAGTATTTACAGTAATTTGTATATGCACATTGTCAATATGAGTAGGTTATCCTGAACTCTAATTTGCTGGTACTTGTATCAATCTTCTGTGCGTGTCATTTGTAGCTGTCGATAGAGATCAGGTTGTGCCAGATGGGGTTTAAACAATGCATCATAGAATACAGTGTAAGATTTCAATGCACAAGTCTCCACAACCTGTATAGACAATTCTATATTCCATTCTTCTCTTCACTTATGTTATCTTCTGAAAAGCTGGCATTTTACTAAAAATACTCATCCGAATACACATTCTAATTGGCATTATTGATCCATAAAATTTCTTCGCAGTTCTGATATACATATGTAGTGAGGAAAATCCTCCAATGACCCATTGTGCACAGCTTGTGAGGTGGCTATAGTTTTGATGCAGAACGAGCTAAAGGAAATGGTGGTGAAGGAGAAAGTGTTTGAATATGTTAATCAGGTGAACATTTCTTATTCAACTTGCTACTAACAGTTTTCTAGAATGCGTCGTTTAGAGAAACTTGGGCTAACAAACTTGGGCGTGAGACAGCTGGGAAACGCCATAATTACCTTCCTAGTGTGATTTTTTAGGTCGAAGTTTGTTAGCTATGACCATAATTATTGAAAAAATATACTACGTATTATTTATATCATGAAAGTACTTTTAAATGAATTGTTTTGAATATATATTTGAAATATTAACTTCTTATGAATTTTATAGATATATAATTTCAAATAATTATGCTCAAACATCAACTGAGTAAGTGAGTTTAACCTCAAAATTTAAATTGGGAAATTATTGTTGGGACAGAATAATATATAAAAACAGAATTGTTATACTCCCTCCGTCCCGAAAAGGTTGGCCAAAGTTGACTTTCACGTGGATTAATAAAGTAAAAACTGTGTGGTTGAAATTTGTGCAGAGAAGAGAAAATTAACTTTAGCCGCATATTCCTTACTTTAAATGAAAATGGCAAATCTTTTTGGGACATCCAAAAAAAGAAATTTGGCCAACCTTTTCGGGACGGAGGGAGTATCATATACTACATCTGCTCACATACTATATTTATAACATACGTAGAAAACTTTGCTTTTTCCATTATAAAGACATGCCTATGAGCCCATCGTCACTAATTTTTATACCAGGAGAGTTCACACAGCTGACCTGCCTGCTAGTTTAATCTTGAGTCAGATTATTTAGAGGTATTGAATTCTAGATGTATTTAGAGGTGAGTTTTCTGATGGCTTCTCTAAATGTTTTGAAAAATCGTCTACTTCTATAATCATGACTTTATGGTGAGCATGTAGAAGCTTTAGTTATCATTTTCAATGCGAATCTGAATTTATACTATCTGGCACTATATATTCAATCTTTAACTTCTCTGCAAAAGAATGATCCTCTTATGATCTCATTAGTGAACCAATGTTATGCTTATCCATGGACTGCACAACGCGTCTCGTACTCCCTGCGATGTCTATTTCTTCTATCATGTTGTCAGGTTTGATTAGTTCTTTTTAAACAATACATAAGCAGAAATCGTAATTCATATCTCGAAATGCCTAGTGACCTATTAGCAGTATCCACTAGCTCTTCTGTGATTTTCTTGCTTCCGGCAACCTCACCAGAATACGTTTTGCCACCAAATACCATGTAAGAGATGAACTCCAGGCGTGAGCCAGCTAGATTTACCGTCCTAAATGAAGGCCTCTTTAGGTTTTTCTTTACAGCATATTTATATAATATCAACTTGCAAAACCTAGGTTTTTACGGTTAACTTGTAAAAGCAAATCAAACTACTTGTCTTCGCAAGAAAGATTAAGAAAACTTAATATTATTTTGTTAGCTGCGCTGTTTATGGCTTATAGCTGAATGTTATATACATATACCTTGTAAATGAGTGAATTATTTGCATTAATGATTCGTTTACATGTGCTTTATAGGGAAAGTCTTGCAGCTTCCGGGTCAACTTATTTTTGGTTGAGAAGGTACACTTGGATTTATATGTTCTCCAATAGTCCCATAAACCAAAAGCATTGATTTGGAACTTGTCACGTGGGAGGCCTTCATTAACATAGAAGGCTTTGAGTATACTCGTGTACTGAAGAAACAAGGAGACAAATTTATTGAATTTCATGAAAATTTAATTCTTATATATTCTCATGAAATTTACCGTGTAAGAGATGAAGTCCAGGCGTGAGCCAGCTAAGATTTACCATCCTAAATGAAGGCCTCTTTAGGTTTTTCTTTACAGCATACTTATATAATATCAACTCGCAAAACCTAGGTTTTTATGGTTAACTTGTAAAAGATGTAATAACTTGAAATACCTTTATGTAATTCTATTCTACTTCACCACAGGCATGGAATTTATTGAATTTTCAAGAAGTACAATTATTTGTTCTCCCTTAGTGACTACGAGTAGTACAGTTTCCTTATTTTAAATGATTTGTTTTGTCCATCTTAGTTGTTTTTGTCTCAACTCCATGTTGGCTGGTCTTACTTTTATAATGTACTGCTAAACCCGAAAGACAGGCTAACTATTTAGGCTAAAGTGATGTCAAAACAAGGCTAACGTGACTGGAAACTATCAATCTAACATTGAAAATATCACGATTTTTTATTTTTTTATGTCAATAACTACTACTCATCAATACAAGTTAGAAAACATCTAGCCCATTTGCCCTGATTACAACTTTTCTGTAGACATTCCTATTGTGGTATTGCAGTGAGTATAGATTTCTTCGAACGATATAAAATGTCTAGAAGGACAAGAGCAATTTGGTTGGAATTAGGGTAAGATGGGATATCTATTTCTTCCAAATCTCTACTCCATCATTACCTAATTCCAAATCCCAATCGATATCTAATTTGCTCCCATTCAAACGGTTCCTGTTTGGTCTACCCTATTGATAAAAATTCAGATTGTTGCGATATCTTATTTTGTAGCAATCAAATCTGTACCTAGGTTGAGCCTTAAGCGAGTTCGACGTAACCATTCCAGCAAGGTGCCAATTAAGTTCATCACAACCATAGTGATTTACTCACTCGGTTCTGGTCCGGTTTGTTTTCAAAGCTGAAATATTGACGGTATGGTTTTTTAGGCCATAGAAAAGATAAAGGCGGTCTTCTCAGGGCTGGAATGGTTTGCTTGCATATAGGGACCAATCTTTCAATTTTTGTTTTATCTGTCATGATAACATGTTAGTCTCTACCTCCTGACCAGGTTAGAGTCATTTTCAAACCAGCTGGTAGCATCAGCACATGCCAAAAGAAAGGTACCATGTGCATTAGGAGCTTTTTCCTTTAAAAAACAAAATAAACTTAACTATAACGTTTGAGAGGGACAGTAGTCAATTTGAATGTGTTCATTTCGATGTTTTGAGTTGTATGAAATTTTCATGCACCTGCTGTATATATTGCAGTCCCATATAGTAATGAGAGAAGTTTGAACACTTGTGCTGCTATGCCTGTGCTAGTGTCTGAGGGTCTTGCTATGTCATCAATTATTTTGTGGGTTTGTGGGTTTGGCACCTCTGTGATACTATAAGTTCTGTCCACATTGATTTATGCTTTTGGGTGGACTACTATCTTGTGACAAAAAAACACAGTTTTAGGAGAGCGGTAAAGTTACACGCTTGTAGAGACCAAGAAGAAACTCAAGTTTGATACGGGTTTAGTAGAAACCAGAAGTGGAGTAGCCTTAGACCAAAATCGAATGATTGGGTCTCGGAGACATGGAGCTGTCAACACCTATTTGCACGGAAACAGATACGCCGATACATCGATACGTGAATACGGGTACAACAATACGACAACTTCAAAAATTATAGGATACGGGTACAACAATACGACAACTTCAAAAATTATAGGATACGGGTACATGGGTATATTTATAAATAACAATAATATAGGGTATAATTTGCAAATATATATAATTCAGATGTTCATAAATAAAATAATAATAGTTTTTAAAATTAACAATTACATAATAAAATTTCAAAGATTAGACCAAAAGAGCTAAAGCACTAATATTTCGATTTAAATTCAAATAATATTTTTGGTTCTCTACTTGCATTTACAATCAGGCTTGGACTCAATTGTTTGCAAACGAGAATTATGTCCATCATAGAACAAAAACACACGGTGGTCGTCTCCCTAGAGCTTAGGGTTTGGGAAGTGTGCAGATTTGCGATTCTTTTTTCTTCGGCAAGAAGGGATTTGCTTCGGCAGTTCCTCTTCCATTAGTTTGCTTTGCATGTTCACTCTTATTTGGCTTCGTGGTGTCAGAGGAGATCGACGCAAGGCACCGAGACAGAGTTTTGGACTGGGTGTTGGTTTGTTGTGTGCGGCGAAGATTCTAGTCAGCTTTGCAATTCGGACGCAATCGGCTGTCTTCGTCGACAAAGCGGTAAGGCAGATGAAGGCTTCTCAAGGTTTGGCAGCGAAGATGAAAACAATTAGTGGCGGTTTTGCTATGAGTGCGAGACTAGGAGAGGTGGACGGTTTTCACGTAGGTCAGTTTTCGATCGACAATGGAGAATCAATTGGAGTGGTACCGATGGTACGGCCTCCTCCTGAACCACCGCCATGGGTTGAACGAAGTGCCAGGGTCTGTGAAAGTTTTCCTTTTAGTTATTATATTTTTGTCAGTTGGATTCTTGTTAACATCTATGTTGTTAGGTTTGCTAGTTTGTTTGAAAATTTAGCCTGTTTTTATGTCGTTGGGAGTATATGGATCTATGGGGCTAGGTATGGATGTGTCAAGCCTGCTACATGGTTAGCGATTCGTGTTGCTCTTTCAGGGGTAATCGTCTCTAAGTCTGATCATAGCGTTTGGCGTCGTAGTTTTTGGGGTTTAGTTGGTTTCAATTTTGATTTTCGTTTGATTGATGTGATCATGAAACTGATGATATGAATTGATGCGAGTTTCCGTTCAAAAAAAATCTAGGCTTGGACTTGGGCCGGGTTGGGCATGATCCTTTTTTTTGTTTCTTGAGGCTCGGAACCGGCCCGAGTAGCTACCGGGTCCTGGTCGGGCCAATTCGGCCCGGGTCGGATCGGGTCGGCCCAGGTACATTATTATTATTTGATTTTCTAATTACTTCCTACCCCCCCACCCCAAACCCCTCCAAAACTCCCAGCCCAACCCATTTACCTTTTAAAGAATTTGAAAAACAAAAAAAAATTGCCCCGAACCGGGACCGGCTCGACCGGTTCATGTTTTTGAGATCCGGAGCCCGCTCCGAAATAGTACCGGGTCGGGTGGCCCGAACCGGGCCCGAACCCGGGTACCAGGCCGGGCTGGGCCGAAACAGTACTGGGCCGGGCCGGTTGACCTAGCCCGAGTCCATCCCTATTTACATCTAAGTCTTTTGACAAGATTGATTTCAATTAATACTCACCAAGCAACATATTGACAAATTATAGCATTCCAATGTTTTCTATACTCTCGAAATCATCTTTATTAATGTTTCACATCTTGTGGTCGCTTTGACGGCTACTAATTTTTCGTCATGTCATGTATGAAATCAGGCTTATATGGTTACATACACGTTTCGGTTCACGGGTACGGATATCAGAAGTATCCATATTTTTAAAAATAAGTCCAATACTTTTATTAAATCATGGATACTGATCAAATACGTACATGACGCGTATCGGTGAGTATCGGTAGCGGATACGTATCGGATACACGGATACATCATCGGGGTGAATTATTGGTACACGATAGGTCAACACTACTAAACATTTGTGGCTGGGAGCTGTTGCAGCTATGCTACCATGACTTGTCTTTTCATTTCCGCTCTGATATAAGGCAGAATATGGGCTTGGAGGAAGAAAGGCAGAGGCCCACACGGGTTTACTGAAGGTTGGGATGGGCTTGAGCCCACCTTCGTGGGTTGGTTGCGTCCATTTAATTAATTTTTATTTCTTTATAATTGTCCTGATTTGTTTCCTATTTGGAGTTAATTAGGATTTCTATTATTTGTTTCCTATTTGAAGTTAATTAGGATCTCTATTATTCTATTTTCTATTTGGAGGTGATTACGATTTCTATGATTTTGTTTCCTAGTTTGGGAATTTGCAAATGGATATTTGCTAGCATTCATTCTTGTTTATCTATTAGTCCCTCTGTCCCGCTAAGAATGTCCCATTTTACCTTTTCGGTTCGCCCCACTAAGATTGTCTCATACCATATTTGGTAAAGTTTATGTGACTCTAAATGATTTTTACTTTATTCTTACTTTATCAATTCAATATCAACAACATAAACCACATTTAATTGGTTTGTGTGTCATTCTCTCTTGTCCAATTGTTAGTGGGAAAGAGGGGGTAATAAAATTGGATTTCAGTCTTTTGGCTTTGTGCAACGGCTTCTATCGTTGATTATTCTAGGTAACAGTTTATTCCGTTGATTTTTTTTGTTTTCGTCAATTGGTCTGACCTGTCGGATCTCGTTCTCGCTGGAATGACGAGATCTCACAACGATCATTTAATGGCATACCTCGATGAATCAGAAACTTGACGTGCAAGGCATCCAACTGGCGGTGTGACACCCCCAAATTTTCCACCCAAAATAATACTTTGAAATAGAGATGAACTTTTATTTAATGATTAAAACTTCAAAAGTTGCAGCGGAAATTAATAAAAACTAAGTAAAAGGGGCATGTCACCGCCACATCCAACCCGTGAATGATTGGATGCTAAGGCTATCTACCAAAACACGAGTTTCACAAAAATCAAGATATTCGAATCATAAGTAAATATTAAAGTTTATTTCTAGTGAACTACATAGTTGTCTTCTAATTCGCGCTCTCAAACATTGCAACATCAAAATCAACATGATCACCTCCTGTTAAATACGAGCACAAGAAAAATAAAAGAAAACAACCATTAGCAATAATGCTAAGTAAGTTCCACCTAACCTTTTAAAATAATAATAAATAATATATATAAATTCGTACAACCTCATAAAATATTTTTCAAAACACTTTATAAACCATAAATCATAAGTAAACGATATCTATATAAAATCCCAAACACATAATTAACTCGTGAACCACAATAATTCCAAAATACATGAAACACCAAAATTCTCCTCTTTTGAATTTCTCCCAAAATCACTTTGTATCTAACTTCCTAGTAATTTAGAAGGGCGGTGCTCAACACTTTGGTTGAGCCCGGTGGTCCGTTGTTATATACGGCCACCCCGGAACTATCGCCGGTACCACAACTGCTCCTTGGAAACGGAAACAACTACTTTAAGTGTGCACACCCCCTAAAGGTATTCCAAGCCCTCCGGGTTAGTAAGTCGATCCGGGTAGCCGGGATGTTTTCTACCAACTACCCCACCTCAAAACCTGAATGATTAGGAGCTACTACTACCACTACTACTCAAAAGCCGGGATGTTTTCTACCGACCGACAATTCACCTCAAACCAACACAAACCAAAAATTGAGTAGTAGTAGACCTAACCATCCTCCACATTTTAAGGGACGTGGAAAACCAACACCACAGATTTCTCTCGTGATGCTCACCCTTTATGAAAATATTTATTTCTCTTTCAAAAATTTCCTTTTTCATTAAACTCCCACAAAGATAACAAATTACTTACTATTACAAAATCTTCCAAAATAACTCATATCAACAAACTAATATCTCAAATACAATCCTTTTATATAATAATATTCAAATTCAGCACACATAAATTCAATTCTCAAATAAGCACACAAAATATTTAAAAGAAATCACGTAGAAAAAAAAACTAATTTCGGTTGACGTGAAACTTACCTTAAATCCCGATGCTCCTAATTCTCTTCTTCAGTTCCGGTCTCTAAATATTCACCTTTTTAATTAAGATGATATAATTAGTCACTTATTCTCTTTGTAATTATTTTATCCGATTTTCTCCTTTTATTTTGTTATTCGAATTTATTAACTTAATTTATTAGTTATTCGAATTTATTTGATTAATCACTTTTTATTAATCAAATTACCTTATTAATTCAGCCATTAATTACAATATTTGAATTCTAATATTAAATACAATATCCGAATATAATTAACTACAACATCCTATTTTTTATTCAATAACCACCATTAATTTACTCTACTCAAAAAATATTATTTAATTACTTTATTTATATTAACCCATTAATTTATGAGTTCAAATATTTTAAATATTTACATGAGGTCCGAATCTCTAATAATCAATCATAAAAATTAATAATTGAATTAGTCCACTAATTACATAATTAAGTTATTTATTAAGTCTACATGTAGTCAATTATTTATGCTAGCTAACCTAACCTTATTTTATTTTCCTTATTTTATTCCAACATCATTTTTTTGTCTAGAATATTATTTTTCAATTCTGGTTGGTCCGAATATGTATATTTTTACTAGGTATTTAATTTATATTTTTCCAGATTTTATTTATTTGATTTACTATTTTATTTTTAATTTTTATTAAAACTGGGCCGAACTGGCCCATTAAACCGACCCGGCCCAAGAGTTCTGACCCAGACAACTGGGTCATCTTCTCCAGGTCGATTCCGGCGAGTTCGCCGGAAACTAGAAAACTCCGGCGAGCTATAACTTGACTTACAGATAACGGATTTCGACGATTCAAGTTGCAAAATGATCCTTGCGGCGAGACGAAGCTCCTCCACCCCTATCTACGGCAAAATATCTGCTTTTTATAAAGACCCGCTTCCACAACTTGCAACTCCGGCGAGCGATATCTCTCTCGTTTCACGACCGTTTTCAACGATTCGTTTTCCGTTGGATTCATATCACGAAGGGGAAGGTTTGAGGGGTGTTTTCAGGGCTTGGTTCTGGCTAAAACGGAGGGTCGAAAATTTTGTGTGTGTGTGTGTATATATATATATATATATATATGTATACGTATATATGTATATATATGGGCTGAACTGATCGTTTTCTTGATGTGAATAAAACGCAGGTTAAGGCTGCTATTTATAGGTGTAGGTTGAGGGTTTTAGGCTGTGTTAGAGTTTGAGTTAAATTCAACCAGCTTCTTACTTATCTCTTTATTTTTGTGCGTAGGCTTATCGCATACGTATTAATACGCAAGTTGAGCTCGTTCATGAGTCTGAATGTAGTCCTCCTTTGTTTTCTGATTCATGCAACGTGTGGTTAAACATCCCAACTCTTATAATTGATATAGTAGTTGTGTATTAATAATATTACTCCTTCCGTTTGCATCCCACGTAGTAGTACGTAACTTAGGTTTGTAATCTATTATTATATTTTAAAAGCATAAAAATAGCAATATAGCATTTAGGAAAAATCAAGTTGTGTTTGTAAATCTCATACAAAATTAAAAATAGTTAAAATAACTTTTATAATTTATGCCATGCGTATGACATCACTTTCATAATTATTATAAAACCGGACTCCTATTATCGGACCATTTTTTATCTAACTAAAACGTCATAAATTTCGAATTTTTTTTTATCTGATTAGAATGTGACAACTGTTGAATTTTTGTTTGACTCACTTAATAATTAAAATGTCATTCCCGTAACATTTTATCTGACTGATAAAAATTATTTTTATTTTTATTTAAATATCTTTTTTTTTTGGAGTGTAACATTCTACCCTCCTTAAAAGATGTTTCGTCCCGAAACATAAACTAAAATAACCAAATTCTTAAGTATTACATTCTATTTTTATTTTTTATTTAAATTTTTGGAGTGTCACATTCTACCCTCCTTAAAAGATGTTTCGTCCCGAAACATAAATTAAAGTTAAATGACAAAATTCTAAAGTATCACATTCTATTCGCCTTAAAGAGAGGTTACGCGCTCGTAACTAAAACTATTACT